TTATATATATGTATATGCTTATTTACTCTAATAGATACATTTATACTTACATATATACATATATACAAATATGAAGTAATTTTTCTTTGCTATTACAAACTACAAAACGTAATTTTTAATTTGTTGATTACGCGAACATTTTACAATTACAATATACAATACAATGCATACATATTACCGCATACATACATACTACATACCACATACATATATACCTTACTTTATTTTTCGGTGATTTATTGCATAGTGTGTTTTTTTTCGTCTAATTTTTACAAATCTATTTAGCAAGCCAATCCTACAATCATAAAATCCTAATTTAATTTCGTTTAAATTACAAATATACATATAAACATATGCTTAAATTTTTTATATAATTATACACTTAAAACAATCTTTAACAAAGTAAACTAACGTAAACAATGCAAAAACTACACAGTAAAAGTTAAAACTAAATCTAAAAAAAAAAAATGAGAAAAAAGAAAAGAGAACAACAAAGTAAAATGGAACGTATGAAAAACGTTTGAAAATTTTGAAAAAAAAAAAAAACCAACAAAAAAATTGCTTTTGTTTTCCTTTAATGTTTAAATTAAATTGCAGCAAATGCGCTGCGCTGCCGTTCGTACGTGTGTAAGTCTCGGCGAGAATGGTTGTCTATGTATGTGTGTGTGTTTTTGTGTGTGTGTACATGTCTAATTGTATGTTGTATGTAAAAGAAAGAAAAATCAAAAAAACAAATGATAGAAACGAAAAAGATCGGCGCTTGGCAAGCGGGACGCACGTGTGGCGTTGTTGAAGATTTGTTCACAGTTGAGGAACAGAAGTTCGTTTCATTTCCTTTCCGCTTGTAATTCTTTGTAATTTCTGTATTTTTTCCAGCAGGCAGCGACAACAGCAGCTACATACGTCAAGAGCAAGAACAAGAGAAACAGTAGCACTAACTAACACAATGAATAACGGCAGCAAAAGCTGCTGTACAACAGCAACAACAACAACGTATCAGGCTTAACCTAGACATTTAAAACCGTTAGGCATGCATGCATACCCGCGTGCATGTGTGTGTATATTTATGAATATGCACACATAATTGAGTAAAAAAAAAAGAAACGAACACAAACAACTACAACTAATATTAACAATTGCGAATGAAGTAAACGAAATGTGTTGGTCAAATGCAGTTAAGAGAAAACACCTGATGTAATTTTATAAGCAAAACATTATTATTATTCTGAGTAATGATCATTGCATACTTACATCTACATATATATCTACAAATATCTTTTGTTTATTACCAAGCCACTTTTTTTTCATACAGAAACAGTTAAAGAAAAAAAAAATCTAAAAGTGATGTTTAACAATTTGAAATAAGTAATGGTAAAATTAATAACTAATTCAAGGAAATACATATACATAAATAGTTAAAGCAAGGTTTAAAGTTATGGAAAATGTAAAAAATTATTAAAAAACAAAAAAAAAAAAAACACTGACTGTTAATTGTAAAACAATTTCTTTTTAATCCGTACGATTTATGATTTAAAGTTAAAAACAAAAATTTTTAAATAAAAACCCAATAAATGAACTACATATATATGCATCTAAACGTAATTACAACTACTATATACAATTATATATATACATATATATTACTATATACATAAATATATGCGTAAATATATCAATTTAACAGTAAAAAATAAATCTAAATATTGTACTAAAAAAAAAAAAAAAACAAAAATGAAAAAAAAAAAAAACAAACAAACTATGAAGATATACCATACAAAAGAAGCAAAAATTCACTTCAGTAAATGATCAAAAGAAAAATGAAGCTTAGATTTAATAAAGGTGTAGCATATGTCCGTACATAAGAATCAAGGACTATATATATGTGTAAACGCATATAATATTTGAAACTGTTTGTTTTTTTTTTTAAATTCGTTTTTGTGTTTTCATTTCGTGTATTTGGTTTTGGTTTTTTATTTCATTTCTATATATTAGTGAATCGGAAATATATACAGATATATATCTGTATGGCATATATATATATATATGTATCTATATTATTTTCGTTTTCTTTGTGTTTACAGATTGTGGAATATAGGCACAGTACAGTACACAGTAAAAATTGATCTAAATATTTGCTTTTTCTTTTATTATTGATTTCTGTTTTGGGTTCTCGAGTTGTCTTTTAAGATTTGTTATACAATATATAATATATAACAAACCTCTGCTTCAAATTCGTCGATTTTTAGATTTGATAATGAAAAGAGATCTAAAAATTAAGCAAAAAGTAAACAACTTAAGAACAATGCGCCAAAATGCAAAAGCTGCAAGAACTTATATAAAAAGAAAGAAGAAACTGCAAAATCTGAGAAATAGAAAACAAGAATAAATATGTAAACTTAGAATATCCAATGTAAAGTCCGTTGAATAGGTATGGTTATAGTTTGGGTTTATAATTCTCGACTGGTATTTCATAATAATAGTTAAGCTAAATGAAAGTAAGATTAAATATTCGTTTTATTCTTTTCTACCCGAAACAAATTTTCTTCTTGATAAACTAGAATGATTTGAAATAAGAGTGCGAAAAAAGATATAGCAGTTATCTAAGCTAAATTCCTAAGACAAAAACGATTCCACCTAAGACACCTTTTGTAATGACTAAATTTATAGACAAAAATACACAATAATAATAATAATAATTATAATAGTAATGATATTGACAGGCAGAGATTGATGTTAGAATTAAAGATGAACATGAAGAAACAGCACAACCACTCAAAACTTGGTAGCAGATTCAGATCTTAAGCGCTGACTGTGTGTGTGTGCATATACTTTGTTCTCGAATTGATTTCGAGGCGTGTTATATGATATGATATAATATATGATGCATATAAGTCGTTTTGAAGATTGTTATACTGTGAAAATTATTTCTTACATAGACTCGCATTTCAATTCGTTTTGATTTTTCACTGTGGATTTCAATTTTTTCATGAGGTATGTATGTGTATATCTATATATGGTATAAAAATTAATTTAAAGAAATAAGCCGAAAACAAACAAAAAATGAAACAGTAAACAACCGTAATTTGTATGTAGTTTAAAAATAATAATAGACATGAGAAAAACCAGAAAAAAATGAGAAAAAAATATGCAAAATAAAACCAAAAATTGAGACTGTTAACAAATGCAACAAATGAAGCAGAGAATAAGATGAAAGTAAAGCTTAAACTAAAATAACTCTTAACTCGTAATACAAGAAAAAGAAAAAACAAAAAAAAAAAAAAAAAAGAAAAAAGAACAAACGATGAAATCTAAGAAATCTCAGATGAATAGGCTACCTATATAAGTTCGTCTAAGGAAAAAGAGCAGAGACAACAGCAACAGAAGAATTTTCCAATTTTTTTTTGAATAATTTTTGTTTTACTGTTTATTCTATTCTATATATATACATATATAGATTTATATATATAGATTTATATATGCTATAAATGCATTTCGCTTTGTCAAAATATTCGAGTTCTTTTTTTTAAAGAACTTTTTGTTCACTTTGCATTAGAAATACACACAGCCACATACATATACCTATACCTACATCCACACACACACACACATCTACACTAATTTTTGTTAACTGTGTATGTATAATGTATGGCTAAAGGCGCGACTAAAAGTTTTTTAGGTACTAAAAATACATATATAACTGTTTTTATTTATGATAACTAAGCGTTAATTACGACAAATGTAAGGCAGGCTAAGCGAATACTTTTAGCTGTAACTGTAGCTGTAAACTGAACAGTTACACACTTACATACATACATATAGTTATAGCATGTAAAGCAGTTGTAACGGTATTTTTAGACATTTAAGTGTTGCCAGATGTGTGAAGAGTGTTTGATCATTCCGGTTTAGCTGCTGGGCTTTAATAATACAAACAATATGTATTTAGTTAAACTTACAAGATTTTACGTATCACCCACACATACACTCATACACTTATAGAGAAAAGCTATACATACATACTATATGAAATGTATTTTTTTTTTAGTTTATCTTATTTACTTTTTCTAGACTTTTCTACTTGTACTTTTTAGAGATAACAAATTAGGAACCGAACCTGTAATGAAACAGACAAGTTACATACATACATAGAAAAACAAAAAAAAAAAAAAAAACATAAACAAGGAAAAATATTAAAAATACGAAAAAAAGCGAAACGAAAAAGTAAAAAAGCTAAGGAAACATAAACTACAATGGAAATTACATACATACATATAGTGCGAAAAAGACAGAGACAGAGTTAGATTTGCAAGGTTTTAGTTTACGGTAAACTTAATGAAATTTTTTACAATGTATTTATACATACCTAAATTTAAATTTTTAATTAATTTTTTAATGTAATACGAACACAGTGCCTAAGTAATATCAAAAAACAAAAAAGTAAATGAACAAAAATCTGTCAAAAAAGAAAACATTGTTAATAAACACAACAACAAACAAATAATAATAATTTATAAAAGCAAAATTTTAAATGAATATAAAAAATAATTAGAGAAACGCAAAGAAAACTTAAGCAGAATACATATAAAATATACAACCAAAAGTTACATAATTGTATAAATGGAACACAACTAACATACGAAGCGAACAAAATTCAAAGCAAATGCAAGCAGAATACGTTAAAAAATACACAGATGGGAATAAATGTATAAATGTAACTGACATACTTAAACAATATTCAGAAGCTAAAAAAAAAATAAATAAAAATAAAACAAAAATACCATACTAATAAATATAGCAACGTACCCCCTACATACGTCTCTCTTTCATATAAATATATATATTATTATCAAAATATTGCATAGAAAACAAGTACCACCCACAATAAGTTGCTTATCTTCAACATTTGATTTCTTGCGAAAAAAAGATCCCAATTAATATTTGTTATCAAAAAAAAAAAAAAAAAAAAAAAAAAAAAAACTATATAAAATACTATACCTGTAGTATAGTATACAAAAATCTAGGCAAGCCACATACTTAAATTAACAACAAATGCAAAGTTGAATATTATTTACAAAGTTTGTTTATATATAAATATTAAAGAAATGCAAAAAAGCGCTATATAGAGTATAAAGTATAATTTATTGTATTTAATTTATTGTATATTCGTTTATTTCTTGGTCTGGCAATTCAAGTTTTTAAATTTAAATTGTTTAATATATTTAAATGAAAAAAAAAAAAAACAATTACTACAATACACGAAATGAATTAAAAAATTTCATTATGTTTAAATTTAAATGTAGTTTGTAAAAAAAAAGTTTTAAGAAAAAAAAAATACTTTGAATATATACATAAATTGCAAGTAAATAGAATAAATGTCACTCACTCTTTTTATTTCAACTGCATTTCAGCATTATTTATTGGCTCTATATATACACAGACTATTACTGAGAATCTCTATTCTCTAGTTTTTTGAATTTCTTTAGAGGATAGTATTGAGAATATTCGATTGCTCTAGGAAAGTTCTATTTTTATAGAGCTAGCTAGCAAAAAATTAAATTTTAGCACTTCACGAAAATAGAATGTGTTTACTTTATTTGAAACTAATATCAGTCTATATAACATATTAAAATTATAAAATTTATATTTATGTGAAAAGCCGTCGTTCTGAGGCTTTTTCTAACGGTCGAAGCTCGACAGATCGAAGCTTACACGTCAACAAAACTTATATTTAGATTCGAAATGATTTAGTTCACAACACAAAGTTTTTCATAAGCGGGCTTCTACAAAATTTCTGTACACACTTGACTTCGTCGTATACCTCAAAATTCAAAAACTTTCAAATGTTTCTTTAAAAAACAAAAACAAAAAAAAAAAAAAACAAAAAACAAAAAAAAACCGAAAGTCTCAGGCGGAAAATGCTGGAACTACCGTCATTTGTGATCGGTAGCGCTACAATATTTTTCCTTGCAGGCGTCGAGAAAGCACCGCCGGATGGAACCGTTACTTTGGGAACACACTTAACAATCTTTATATCAAGCTTTGCGTGCTTATTTTATCATATGAGATCTTAAATATTTCCAAATTTTTAACGATGATATGGTAAAAGAAAAAAGTTCCAAGGGTTTTTTTTTTTTTTTTTTTTTTTTGGAGATGTTGCTTTTGATTTTAAATTGAAAACAATGAAAATAATATAATTGAAGGACATTTGCAAGCTAAATAAATAAGTCATGAAAGTTATGAAGCTCCAGTTCCAGTGTGACATTCATTGGGAGCCATGGACTATGCGGGTTAACTAACTAGCTGATGAATCTTAAATCCTGGATTGGCTACTTGGCTTGGCGCCGTCTCGTGATCGGTGTGGTGGGCGTGCCCGTCGGCGGCTTTATCTATAAGCAAGAAATTATAGAAATTAGTGACTCCAAAAATGCAGTTGGAGCTGCTTTCAAACTTGCCGAACGGATGGGCTTGGGCGTTAGCGAATTGGCCGGCGGTGGATCACGTGGATGTGGTCCATCCGGATGGCCAACGACAGTGACGGCAACTGGTCTCTGCTCCGAGCTGGCGCGCTCGATGCTCTCGCTGCGTGAATTGGAGCCGGAACGCTTGAACATGCCCGACAGGCGACCCCGCAAATCCTTTTTGCTGGACCTCATATCGCTTGCTACGCTTATGTCTGAATCAGATCCCTGAATCTGAAAGCAAATAAAAGGTATTCTGATTAAGTTTCGAGATCAACTTGTTTTCTTTCGGACACCCACCGATACTTCACTCTCGGAGTTGCGGCTGCTTTTGGTCAGACTGCGTAGCTTGCCCATGATGCCCTTCTTTTTCTTGCGCGGGCCGCGTGGTATGTCGCTTTGGGTGGAGCCGCCGGACAGGCGAGAGTCGAGGCGTGAGTCCAAGCTGGAGTCACGCACCAAGCCGCCCAGCTCCGAGTCAATGGATTGCATGGATGATACGCTGCCATCGTCCTGACGCCAAATATTCTGAGAGTACACGGAGTCGTCTATAATTATCCTTCCCTATACTCCTTTTGTAAGTTCTTACCTGATCGCGCTGTATGGAGTGGTCCAGCGATAGGCTCTTGCGTATCAGGCTGCCATTGTTGCTGGAGTTGCGGGACAGACGTCCGCTGCCGCCGCCGCGCTGAGAGCCCGCCGCACTTGCCACCGAGCTGGTGCTGCCGTGCGGATCGTTCTCCTGCGAGGCAGCGCGACGCAGATTGCCACGGCGCATGCGGCTGCGCTCCTGCTCGTCCTCACTGATGCGCTGGAACTTGCGCAGCTCCTCAGAGGCCTCTGCCAAACGGGCCAGCACATTGGCGATCTGGGCGCTGCTCAGCGTTGGCGACGGACTACGGCTGCGTCGCACATCTGCCTGCTCCGGGCGCAGTTTGTTGTCCGTTGCATAGGACGCACTACGTCCGGCTGAGCCCCCGACTATCTTGAGATCTGGTGCGATCTTCACCAGCTCATCTACGGTCTGCAGCAGGGCACCAACTTTGCGCTCACCGCCATCCTGTTCCATCCGACGCTTAATCAGCTCCTTTTCATAGCGCTCACGCTAGAGAGGAAGAGGGAGGGATCAAGAGGAAGAGAGTGAGGAGGAAAAGCTTTTATAATTTTGTATATTTATGACTTTGGTTTATTCTCACCTCACGACGCAATTTCTCATTGGAGGTGCGCAGCTTAGCGTGCACATCGCGCAGCTCTAAGAGATCGCATTGCAGTTCGGCAATCTTCTTGCGGCCCTCCTCCATTTCCTCCTCGGTTGCGCGCTTGGTTTGCTCCAGCTTGCGCTTGGCTTCGAGACGTTCCTTGTCCCGTTCGCGCTCCACCTCGAAGAGTGTTTGGCGCAGGTCGCGCGCCAACGTCGATGTCTCCTGGAGCAGACGTTGCTGATCCTCGCGCTCCTTCTGCCAGGACAGCTCCAGTTTGGTCTTCATGCCGGGCAACTTGGTGCTGCCCGAGCCAATGACACGTTCCTCCTCGAATTCGTTCAGCTTGGATTGCATTTCAGATATTTTGATCTCATTGGCGCTGCGCTCCGAGACAAGCTCCGTCTTCACCTTGCTGGCCTCCAGACGCGCCTCGACCAACTGATCCTCCAGGTGACCAATCTGCAGAGGTACGTTTTTTATTGTTGTATATTTCTCTTCTTTGACACAGCTCGAATCGGATCTCACCTGTTGCTCCAGGTAGGCAATCTTGCTTTTGTCGTCGTCGTCGCTGCTGTGCATCGAGCTGCGACTCTGCCGTCCCGTATTGTTGGCCTTCAGGTCGCCAATCTTCTTCTGCGCCAGCTCGAGCATCTGCTTGAATGCGTCTCTGTCTTTCTTGAAGCGTTCACATTGACGCTGCCAGGCAATCAGAGCATCAGTATACGATCAGGAGATGCTTCAGGATCCCATTGCTTACCTGCATAGCTGTGAGCTCGCCGCTGAGATTCTTCACCTGCTGCTCGTAGCGCAGACGCGTCGAGGCCACTTCGGACTTCAGCTGCAGCTCGGAGGCTTGTAGTCTACAATAAATAAGTAAAAGTGGGTGGGGGTGGGGGTGGGTGTTGCGATCCTCTGTAGAGGGATCTACCCTACTTTAGTGCTCACCTTTCCTTCAGCTCCTTAATCTCCGCCTCACGTCTGGCGCCGTGTCCGTTGAGTGAGGACTGCGCCTGCTCGATGCGATTGAAGTCGTTCAGCTTGCTGGTCAGATCGTCGTTATCCTTGCGAAGCTGGAATACCAGATCGATGTTCATTTCGTTCTCGCGCCGCAGCCGCTCGTACTCGTGCTCCTTCTCGGCCAGCTTGTTCTTCAGCATCGAGCGCTCGTGGTCGCCGCTGTTGCTCGTCTTGAGGGTCTTCACCTCCAGCTCCTGGATCTTTTTCTGCGCCTCGTTCAGCTTGCGCGCCATGTCCGTGCGCTCAATCCGAATGGTGTCCATGTCAGCCAGTTTATATTTGGCCGCAGTCAGCTCAGACTGCAGACTCTGTTTCTCCGTCGTTAGCTGGGCGCGCATGAGTATGGTTTCCTCGGAGAGCTTCTCCCAGTGGGTGTTCAGCTCCTCGTAGCGCTTCTGTTCACTGCTGAGCTGCGCTTGACTCTCCTCCAGCTGCTTCTTGAGCTCCTGCACCTGTTTGCTGTCCGATTTGCTGGACTTTGTCTTCAGGTCCTTGATGTCCTTCTCGAGCGAGGCTTTAGTTTTCTCCGCTGCCTTTTTGGCACTGAGCAGCTCCCCGTCTAGTTGGCTGATCTTGGCCTCGAGCTTTTCACGGTCTTTGAGCTGCTTCTCTAGATCCTTCTCCAGACTCGATGATTTCTCCTTTTCCTTCTTGTTTTGTGCCTCGAGCGTGGATTTGCTCGCCTCGGTCTGCTTCAGCTGACTCTCCTGCTTCTTCAACTTATCCTCCAAGTCCTTGAGCTTGGTGTTGAGCTTCTTAGACTCCTCCTCGCTGGCCTTGAGCTTCTGCTCCAGCTCCTTGGTCTTGCTGCTGGTGCCATTGAGCTGCTTCAGGCGCTGCAAGTCGCCCTCAGCCAGCGTCAGCTTCTGCTTGCACTTCTGCAGCTCTTCCTCCAGAGACTCCTTGCTCAGCTGCAACGTCTTCAGTTGGCTGGCGCCACTGCTGCCCAGCTGAACGCGCATTTCACTGATCTCATCCTCTAGCTCCTCCACCCATTTCTTCAGATGACTCTTGGGCGTCAGATCATTGACACGCTTGGGCGTACGCGGCGGCAGCTTGCCCTCGGCCTCTACTTGCATCCGCTTCACCCTGGCGGTCAGTTCGTCGCGCTCTTTTTGCACCTGAGCCAGTGTCTCCTTGAGCTTGGGCAGCTCCGCTTCGGCATTCTTCTCCACGGAGCTCGCCCTGCGCAGCGACTGCAGCTGCAGGCGTTTGTTCTCTTTGCTCAACTTCTCGTTCTCGGTCTCCAGCGTTGTCAGCTTGGCCAGCTGAGCTCGCATGGTCTCCACGCTTTGCTCCTTCTCCTGCAGAGTCTTGCGCAACTGGACGAGCTCATCGTTGAGTGCCTTGAGCTTCTTCTCAGCGGCGCTGGACGAGCTGCCGAAACTGAGCAGCGAAGACTTGCTGCCATTGGTGCTATCCTGGCGCAGCTTCGCCTGCAGCTCGCGCACATATTTCTTCGACTCGGCATTCTCCTTCTCCAGATCCTCGACCTTGAGGCGCAATATGGATGCCTCCTGCTCGTTCAGCTCGAGCAATATGCGCAGCTCGGCGGGGTCATCCTCATCCGAAATGCCTTCGTCCCGGTCGGCGTGCACCTCGGGCGCCAAGCGATGCGGATGAGGCGCAGGACTCAATTTGCGAGCTGCTTTACATTGGGTAAGCCGAGAAAAGGTTATTAGAAATTTCAGTAAACAATCAGAGTATCAACTAGTCGCATGCCAGGCTGGGATTACATTGATTAGTCACATTTTATGAGCAGCCGCAAAAAATGGCAAATTATTTGTTGAGTTCATTTATTAGAAAGCGCATGAGAAATATCGTTAGTTCGATAGAATCTAGATGTTAGAGAGATATATAATATATCATCATGAGAAACGATTTAAAAGACTTCAATTAGTCAAACAGTCTCCAGATCAGTTAAATCGTTTTTTTTTTTTTTTTAATTTGAAATTTCTTTTTATTAGTAAATTGTCAGAAATAGCTATGTGAGTATTATAGATATATAAATTTGTGAGCAAATTTTAATCGTACTTCTTGAGCGCGTTGCCATTTTTTTCAACTGCATCATCAAAGACTCATTTTCATCCTCGAAACGAGTCACCTTTTTCCTCAAATGTTCAGCCTGAAATGTATAAAACACAACATTTGATTTATGTATGAGAAACTCTTGATTAATTCAATTAAAATCATTTCGTATTCGAGGATAAAAACTCTGCCCTGATATCGAGTTATCGAGCTATCGAGTTACCAATGATAAAAGACTCTATCTACTGGGTTAGCATTACGTGGAAATATGAAAACAGAAAGAGAGATTTCTTCGGCTGGTCGAAGCTTGAATACCCTTGCAGACTATAATGGCTTATACTATGCTATAAATGGGAATAATTTAAGTATATGTACATGGATTTCAATTCAAATGGTATCATAAGGAAACAGACAGACAAAGGAACATGATATTTAATATGTAAAAATGAAACAAAAACATTTGTTTTTAGCTTTCGCAAGAATGTCCAAATAATCTGTGCAAGTGTATTAAAACGCAGTTATACGAAATTAAAACAGAGTGAAACAGGAAATTCAACTGCACTACATAAACGCGTGGACAGATCCTAACCAGCAAAGACCAAAGGTAAGAGTGATATATTTTTAACAGTATTTTCTAAATAGCTTTTTTTTGTATAATAAATATAATGATTTACAAAAAATTAGAATACTGAAAATTAAGGTGGTCATCAAATAGATTGGAGAGATTAAGTTATAATGATGAAGATAATGAAGATGCTGGCAACTACCAAATATGAAAAGTGATATGGATAAAAATATGACTACTGATAAGGATAATAACAATAATACAGCCTAATATTTTGTGTATTTTAAAAAATATGTCTTTATATTGTATATTGCAATGATTCGGCTGATGAGCATTTCAAAAATTTACCGAGCAAATGACAGTAAAGAAGATGATGATGATGAAGATGAAGGTAACGAGAATGATGTTGATAGGGAGAGTGAAAACTTTAATTTGTATGTATATATGAAATGATAGCCAGACAAATAGTGATACTGGTAATAATAATGATGACAATTATGTGTGATGAAATATGTTATAATGATATATCTATCGAAAAAATCATGAAAAATATAAATGATTATAAGGATATTTCTATAATTGACAATGATAATGGTATTCAACTGCACTGTCTATTTTTCCCCCTTCTTCCCTATATGGCATTTGTGGAGCTTTCATCTGTCATAGTATTTATAGTTTACACTGCTGTGGTCATTGCTGGTGAGTTCTGAGTGGACAGGATCTGTACTAGGTACCTGCGCTGGCGCCAGCCAAGAGCACATGAGACATGGCGCTGGGAAAGAGCAAAGAGGTGGAATTGACAACCCTGGTCGAAGTGCTGGGCGCAAATAGCGATGCAAACGGTGAGGATTCACGGTCAACGGAAAGATTTCTAGTGCTCAGCTCGACAGTGGTCTGTGTGGCTATGTCGGAGGAGGTGACCTGGTCGGTTTGTGTGTGCATGGCCAGAGTTTCGGGCATGGCCGACGTATTGCAGCCAGCTTCAGTTTGAGCTATGGGCGCTGTTTGGGTGGAGCGCGGAAAACCTAAAGGAATGGCCAGCATGTCACCCGTTTGGCTGCCACGATTCACTTGAGCCCGTTGCCTGGAGGCCCTAGCTTTGAGTTGACGTCGCTTCACGTTGAGGTTAGCAAGTGATTAATCTGAGTTCGGTGCGATTTGGTATGCGGACTCACCTCTTCCTCGGCAAATTTCAGCTGATCCTTGAGATCCGTCTCGCGCTCAATGGAGTCCTGCAGCTCACGTTGCAAGTGCTGCGGATCCTCCTGTGAGCCGCCCCGAGTCAGAGACTCGCGCGTAATCTTAGCATCCGCCGACGTCGACTTGCCCAGCACGCCCAGCATGGGTGTCTTCTTCTTGCCCGGATTGCGCAGCTCCTCGGCCTCTGCCTGCAAGGGAGTGGAAACAGGAGTGGGTGAGTCGACTGGAGGAGAGTAGGTTCACCTGACATACGCACCTGTAGCTTCCGCGTTAGCTCGTTGGAGAAACGCAGCTCCTCTTCCAGCTTCTTGATCTTGGCGCTCAGCTCGGCGTTGTAGGAGCTCTGCCTCTCCAGCTCAAGCGTCTCGATTTTGCGCTCACTCTTCTTCAGCTTAAAGCTAAGGATGCGACAGTTTTTGACTGCCTTCTCAAGATCCTTTTGCAGATTGGTTTTCGCCTTGACCTCGTCGTCGCGGAACGTGTCCTGCACCTCGTCCATTTCGGCCTGCAAGTTGAGGATTTCTCTCTTGGCCGATTGGTTCTCCTCCATGAGTTCCTCGCATATCTGCTCAGCCGCCTGCAGTTTCCGCCTCAGCTCCGACTGGTTGTCCTTGCTCTCCAGCTCCTTCATGCGCAGGTTCAGTTTGCGCTTGTCCTCCGTCACGCGGTCCAGCTGCTCCTTCATTTCGTTCAGCTTCTGTTGCAGATTCAGCGCCTCCGAGGCAGCTGTGCGATTTGAGGCGGTGTCCATGGAGGCCAGCCGCCTCAGTAATATGTCGCTCTTCTCACGCTCCGCGCGCTCCGCTCGCGCCTTCATGGCCTCCAGATCGGCACGCAGCGCCGCCATCTGCTCCTTCAGCGTGCTGGCCGTTGTGGGCGTGGCTGCAGTCGGCACAGTTTGTCTTTTGCTAGTCTCCTTGCCATTGCTGATCTCCGTTTCCTTGCGCCGTGTGCTGCTCAGGCTGCTGCTGGAGCTAGAGCTGGAGGCTGAGACCTTGGTCTCTGTGTGACTCGATGACGTGGTTGATGTGGCGGATTTCAGGGTTGAGGTCGCTGATGCAGTAGTGGCAGCTGCTGTGGCCGTGCTGACGACTGGAACCTTTTTTGGCGGCAGGGAGGCGCGCTTGAGTTCCGTCTGCTGGTTGAGCGATGTGCCGGATTTGCTCCGTTCCGGGCGATCCGGCGGTGGCGCTGTAGACTCGCTTTCTCTGTAATGCAGTTGGGTTAATTGGAATATGGATACTGAACGGATGCTTTAACTCACTCATCTCGACGCGGCACAGAGCGTTCCCGGCTGGATTCCCTTGAGTTGAGACTGCGCTGCTTCTTGAGCAAGTTCATTTTGCGCACACGCTCGGCAAGACTGTCGGTCGATAGGATGACTAGCTCATCTGGAATACTTGAAGTTTTACTGGGGGAGGCTGTGGCACGGCCTTGCGTGAGACTCTGCTCCACCTGTTCGAGTGGAAGGGACGGTGTTTGAGTGATGGATTGATCGAGTATAGTAATTCTAGAAGACTGAACGAGTGATCGATGATTGATAGTCGAAAATAAAATCTGAATGATTTATAGATTGATTGATGGGCTGTACTGATTGACTGATTGATATTTTAGCCATAGTCCAAAAATGTAATTGATTAATGCCTCATAAATCTATTCGAACTGAGTAAAGGATAAATTACTTCGAATCCTGATTGATTGACTGACTGACTGATAACACTATTCGAATTATGATTTGATGCAAAGCAAACATTAATGAAATTTCAGTCTTGCATCGCAGCGCTTACCTCAGCCATGTCCAAGGCAGTTGTGTGTCGGCGCGGAGGAACTGGTAGCTTCAGGGTGACAGCTACATTGTGATCGGTGGCGGAACGAGCTGCCGCCGCCGAGGACGAGCTCTGGCGTTGTCCCTCATCCTGCGACTCATCGATGTCCGGCGTGGAGGCCCAGGACTGCGGACGTTTCTTTAGCTCTACATTGAAGTGTACAACTGGGTTGAGTAAAAGCGTCAAGTGCAGCGAATGCAAAGGCAAGCAGCGGATTGGACATCATTGTGTTGGGTCACAATATGCAATCACAGTCACGTTCACAGTCACAGTTTATTGTATTTGATGAGCGGTGGCCAACCAAATTGTGCCGTTATTTGTTACGTAACACAGGTGCGGTAAAAGTGTTTTACATCAGCGCAACAGCACAGCCAGTATACGATGTGAGTACAAAGTAGTGTTAACAAACGTTATGCAGATTAGTGTTGATCAAGAGAGAGAGAGAGAGAGAGAGAGAAAGTGATACGAGCACACAATAAAGTACAGTTGGTGCAAGAGTTCAGTTAAAAAGTTGTGAAAATAGAAAGAGAGATACATAGAGAGAAACAGGAAACGAATAACAGTTAACTTCGGAGCACCGAAATCTATATACCCTTGCAGACATATCGAAAAAGAATATTATGAAGCTAAATAACTCTGTATCTAAAATGAACATGTAGAATGAAATCGGATAAATATTTAATCTTATAGAAAAAATAAAATAAGTTAATTTTTGTTTAAGAAATCTACCTTAAGTTTTTTTTTGAAGACATTTCAGAATGCAGCAATCAGAAATCTCTCAATCATCTTGAGAGAGGTCTCAGTCTATAACAAACTATAGCTATATTTCAATTAACTACTATTCTTATTTCAATATTTCAATATATTCTGCTGGGTAAACTTAGCTCTACAATGTCTGGAGTGTTCGTATATCTAGGCCAACAAGCAGTTGCTAGAAAAATTTAAAAAGTATTACTAGTTTCATACAATGTGCGTAAATTATTGAGAGATATACAAAATATCTCAATAAAAAAAAAATAAAAATTTAAAAATTCAGCACATAACAATTGAATGTTTACAAAACTCAACCCGTTCTTTTTGTATAAATCTTTCTAAACTACTTTTGAGTTCATATGGAATGTTATGTGCTTTAAATATTAATGTTGATACTATATTAAAAATCAATATATGTTTCAAAATAACAATTTACGTGATGATCATAAACTTTTGCTACAGCTACAAAACAATATTGAAAACTTTCTTTGAATAACATAAAAATGTAAAATAATTTAGTATAAAATATTTCAAAATTACATAAAAAACTGTGATTAAACATTTAACATTTAACATTTTAAGATTTTAATAGTATAATTATGTTATGCTTCGTATAATTATTTGATAGAAACAATGCACTTTAGTCATTGTTAAGAGTTAAAGTTAATATATTTTAATTAGAGTTATTTCCGCTAAGAACTCTGTGAATATGTAATTCATTTCAAGAGAAACTTAACGTTTCTTTCTATTTCAACTTTAATATATCCCATCATTCATACCTATATCATTGCTGTTGCTTGAATTTGCGCTGGTTAAGTTCTGTGTCGACGTCCATGTGCGCGATGACGGCCTGTGGAAGAATAATATTGATGATCATGGCTGATCGATAAGTAATCGATATCTATTGTTTACCGTGAACTCTGCGCGTCCGACAGATTCGGCGAGGATGCGGCCACCTCGTCGCCTCCTCGTCGGGCTCCATGTTCCTTGTAGTCGCGAAAGCAGCGCTTACATCTGGTTGGATAACGTGTCTGGGGATGAAACCCGAGCGGGCAGAGCTGATCGCCTTTCAGCGATGGGTACAGATGATGCATCTGTGTCTATATAAATTGTCAGCTTCGCCTTTTCTGTCGAATAGATGGAAGATAATCGATTTGCAGTGCTTTATATGTATATTTCAGCAAGTGTATATACTGATAATTTAGATACTGGTGTTCGGGAACTTTTTCGTTAAAATAGTTCTTAAGTAAATAGTTATACCAGTGTAGTACTGTAAAACTGTTATACTATCCATGATCAATAGGAGATAAAAATACCGGCAAGAATTTTCTATTTTTATATATGCCGAACAGCATATTACGTTTCTGTTATAGTTTACAAGAACATAAATACTTAAGATTATTGATGCACAAGGTTTATATCACTATAATATATATCCGCAATTGATTTGATTTAAAAACGTGAAACAAAGAGTTGAAATAATATTATCTCTAATTTTCTTTGTACGTCATCCAAATACGTCATATTTTCTCACCTGCTTGCTGGAGCGGCTGGTAGTTAATGCATTTTATATCTGCAGTGGACACTATCATATGCAGGGCATCAACTAAATTTAAATGCTTTCATTGGAATTTTGGCATTGATCCAAGCAAGCTGAAGAATGTTGTACAAAATGTTCTAAATCTGATGGCAAAGAGAGATGTTCGTTCGCACATTCGTTCGTCTGTCTATTACTTGTTCCGTAGTTCTGTAACGCAATCAACCGATCTACAGAAAATTTCTTTTGTCTTTTGCTCTGCAAATGCTCTGAAACTTTTTCTTATTTTTAATGTTGACATAGATCAATAAACCTTGAATCAGTCTGCCTGGCAATCCGAAATAATTGAATTTTTTATATAATACATTTGAGAGCATAAAAATAAAAAAAAAATTAAGTCTTGAAAATGAG